CGGCTGAATGAGTGTTGAAACTAGGTACTGCGTATACCTTCAGAGCTAACTCTGAGGCCATTGTGAGGCGAATGAGTTTAGTATTACAATTTGTGCAAAAGGGATGAGGGACTTCAGTATTGCCTAAGAAGCCGATATGCTGGAGGTCGGAAATACCTGCTTGCGCTTATGCGTCCACTATGGCAGAATATATGTATTGTCGACATGAAGTAGGGCCTTGGGGCTACTGGCATAGCCCAGAAGTCAGGCCGAGGTACAATGGTGGAGCCCCCAAGTGGCCCGTCACCAAAATTGAGGTTTAAACAATTAAAGTATTACAATTCTACAAATCACATATTAAACATATCTTCACTCCTAAACGAAATCAGAAGCAAAATCGGAAAGTGGGGATTTTCAGCTGTGACCATTATTGTTTGGACTTTTTAATTTTTAAACTAAGTCGCGTACAAGGTGTGGATTTTGCCCTAGTTGCTGGGTTGAGGCGCCTAACTCGTTTAACATCATGCTCGAGCCCCAATGTAGTCTCCTCATTACTAAATCACTATGACGACCATCTGATTGGGTATCTTTAAATAAGCTAACGGTTGTGGGATTTTAGCTTTTTTTGTAAGCACTTAACGTGTTAAAATGGGCAAAATAATCAAACTAGACCGGTTATTAACAGTACTTTTAAGAACTCAACTCTAGCGAATAATGAGTGTTGTAAGTATCGTGCTTGCTTCAAGTAATGTTGTAATAACGCCCTTTATTCTGTCCTTCAAAAAGAACGTCATCCCTCTGTTGGTGCTACTCAACTTCATTTCTGAACGACCATCCCTCTGGATATTCTTTGGAATGATGATCTGGGCTTCTGTCACTATCGCCGTTGCTATGCTTCTGCCATGGTTGGTCTTCTCGGCGCGATATACATCTCAATAACACAACCAACTTATCAGTAAATGCATGTTTTAATATTAATTTCATCTTTTTATTTTTGGAAAGGTCCATGTTACCTGACGTAATCGACGCCTTCCAGTTGCAGTACAGCATGCGCCTGGAGTCCGTATTCTACTCTCTCATTGTCTTTTTCAACAAGTTTGCCGTGGGCATCTCCTTGGCGATGTCCGCGGGAATCCTGGAGTGAGTGCATACGCACAGAATGTCTCTACTTGCTGTTCCATCTTTGACTAATATCCATCCCTTTGTGGCTTGTAGGCTGGTGGGCTACGACTCGTCTAGTAATGCTTGTCATCAACCCCCAGAGGTGGGGAAGACACTGAGGCTGTTATCCTCTGTCGCTCCTATTGGTTTCCTTATCCCTGCCCTCGTCTTCCTCTACTACTATCCGCTGGGCAACCGGGAGTTGGAGGAAATGCGATCCAAACTGCTTCTGTAAGTGATGCATATAAGTTGCATTCATTCTAAGTTCACTTTGATGAGCGTTTATTTGTTATTGCCTTTATTTAGCCGCTCGAACGCATCCACTCTGGACATAGTGCGCTCCGATGTGACAATAAATTCGGCTCCGTCAACGCAACAGCCTTGAAATTTCCACGATCAAATACCCCATTACGTTAACTTTCATGATCACTGTAGGCAATAAGTTAGCAATTGAAGAGTGTCCTTTTTTGCTGTTTCATCACTCAGTGGCACACCCAGTTTCTATGTGCAAAGTGTGTATATACAAGTACATATCCATTTGCTGTGCTAGATGTATTGTCTTTCTTCGTCCTGAGTGGATGTCTAATGGCCGTGTGAGGCTTTGTGCGAAAAGTGGCGTGACGAAAAGTACAGTCATCGTAGTTTAGCTGTTTGATACAATTCTTGAACTGATCAGGTCTTAAGTACATTGGGTTGTGGGTTGAGAGCCGGAGCAGTAAAGTGAGCCGTCTCTTCCGGGGAATAATTTTGCTTTGGAAGTGGCGACTTAGACTCTCGGGGTGCGGTGCTAGAATCCAACCCAGGGAGACACTGGGAGGGCTGGGCCTTTGTAAGGGATATACGGGGACAGCTTCTAAGAGTTGCTAGGGTGCGATGGGTTCTGAGCGTTGCGAGCGGTATGGTTAGAGTTGGCAAAAATAACAGTTAAATAGCAAAAAGACAAAGGAAGAGTGAGGCCTAGCGATAGTGGCATTGGGTAAAAATGGACTAAAAGTATGTCGAATTGAATAAGAGCGTTTGGTTACCTGGATGGGGTGCGAAGTGATTGTTGATAATTATGTTTGCCATTCCAATGTGTACTTTTCAGTCTTCACCTGTATGTTTAAGTGGACTGACCGTACTTCCTTACAACAACAGCCACGGCTGGCATGGCTGCTCATCAGCTCAGATGGCTTAGCGGGGCACGATAAGGGTACAGTTGACAGATGTAGGTCAAAAAGTTTGTGGTTAAAAATAACAAAATTAGTGAACAAGAGGAAGTAAACACTCTTAATTTAGTTACGTGACGCGCAATACTTGCAGTACGCTACGAAGAGAAGGGTTTGAGCCATATAGCTATAATTTGGTCCTAGTAAAAACGTGGTTGAAATTCTTTACTCACCTGAGACATTCTGCAGACGCACCTTGATCTATCGTACCATTTTCGACTACGCATTGACGCACCAATTAAAATCTTTCATTAATTCTTTATAAAACACCTTATCCCTCTATTGTTAATAAACCGAATTGCTGCCACTTTTAATATACATACAAACTTTTGCCTAACTTAAGTAAATATAAATATTTAAGTAAATATAAATATTAACATGTATATATAAATAAGCATATGTATTGGAAATTTTACTTGACAGTTCCGATTAGCGCCTTGTACGATCATGCAGCTCTCGTTTTCTGATAGGCTACTCGTGCTGATTTTGTCCCATTTGGCCTAATGAATCGTTGTCTTATGACTAGTTGCGGTGTTCTTCGCAATGCTGTTGTAGCTAGAAAAACCGAGAAAGTATTTGTCTGTTTTGCGCACTCATGAGTTTTTACATCAGTTTTCTTCAGTGATTTTCTGTTCATATATCACCAGACTTCAAAGGTCCAAATACCCACCCATTTCATCTCTCCAGACGAGGAGCTTTAGCCATGGGCCTCCACTATCCAAACCAATGATTGAAGATAGAGTAATGCTTGTTCTTCAATTATATGATAAAATTGATCCGAACAAGGTAAATTGACTTTCCCCTCTGTAACGATTCATATCTAGCTTACCCTCAAATCCGACCTTGTAAAAGACTTCGGCCTGGATAGTCTTGATATGGTCGAAGTAATGTGGCAATGGAGGAGGAATTTACCTTTGATATCCCTAGTGCTGATGCGCAGCGTTTGCGGACCCCATTCGATATCATCCAGTACATTTGCGACAAGCACGATATTTATGAATAAAGTGCTTCGCAAAATTTGTTAGCTTACTATTAGTTCACATTGTCAAATAAAGCGTTGTGTATAAAGCTGCATTTCTACCCTCTTCTTGGTTCACTAAACTATTTCCTCGTAGACTTCACTCGTTTTGCTAGTTAATTTTGAATGAGTTCTGATTCGGATGAAGATTTACCCCCAGAGCTACGGTACACAACGGAAGAGGTGATGCGAGCCAAGGAAACCAACCCAGGAATGTTTGTAAGCGCCTGGCAAGCTGACGAAGAAGACATCACATACTGGTCAAAGAAGGATTTGAGAAGTTAATTCTCTTCCCTTTGTTAACTAACATCTACAGAGGATCCCAAAAAACTCTTCATTCTCTCTGGGCAGCGAGGCGATTTGGAGACCATGAAAAGCGTTTTTGAGATAGAGATTGGACCAGATTGGGCGAATCAACCATCAAGATTGAAGGAATTTCTTTTGGCTCACGATGATGACGGCTACACAGCATTACATCGCGCCGTTTACTCGGGTCATGTTGAAACTGCTGAGGTATGTCTCGTCTTGCTTCTTATATTCCCTATCCAGTTCCTTTTGCGACACGGTGCTCATTTGGAGACCCAAACAGTGGATGGATGGCGACCGCTGCACTCTGCCGCGTTTTGGAACCAGTTGGCTTGTGTTCAGCTTCTCTTGGAAGTTGGAGCTGATGTCACTGCTGGTGGGGCATTTTGCGAT